GTGTATTCCTTCTTGTCCGGGCGTGCCGGACGTGGCGAGCGGCTCTCTCTTCTTAATGATTCGTAGTAATGGCTGGAGGACCGGGATGCATGATGCGATGATGAGTGTGCCACCTTCCACGCTGGAAACATGTTAGCATTGGAAACGTTTCAAGTGGGCGCATTGCAAGCGCGCGGGGAGGGGGCTTTGGCTTACATGTTTATGACGACGAGCTCGGCGGTTTCCCCTGCGATGAGAGTTAGATGGCATTCCGATTTGGGATTGGAGCGTTTCATCTTGAGGCTCTTGGGACGACGTACAGGAAAAGTCCTTGGCAGCCAACAACGGTAGGCGCGTGCACTTGAAGATGGCGACGCCAGTTGATCTAGCGTCGTTTGTCAGTACTGGCTCTGGTTGTCCGAGTTGTCCAAGTGTACAACTTACATGCAGCCAAGCCCCAAGGCAACGGTCAGGGCAATCTTCTTGTTCCTCTTGATGCCAAGGTTGAGAAGGATCAGACCCGGGTACACCGCGAGATAGAGGTCGACAGCAGCGGAAAATACTGTAAATGGAGTTAGCTAGATGGTCTTCTTCCCCGAGACAAAGAAGAATTCCAAAACTCACCTCCCGTTGCGATAGCGTACCGAACCAGGATTTGGGGATCCCAGCACTTTCCCTTGATGTCAAAGTTCCACTGGGACTCTGCGGGAACACACCTCCCCAGCAAGAAGACGGCGTTGAGGGCCAAAAGGACGTTGCAGATGCCGGCCATGGTCCAGAGGATAATGGTATGTGTCCGTCCGGGACTCATAATGCGCGTAAGGACAGCAACGACGGCGAGCTTTGGGATACCGAAGGATAGGATACCCAATGGAAACCCGACTAGGGTCCAGAAGACAACACCCTCTTGCTCTTCTTGGCTGAGGGTGACAAGGTGACGGCCATTGCCGTTATCAATGGCCTTGACGGCCAAAGCCACGGAGATCCAGCAGCATATCTGAAGCCTGGGTCAGCGCCACATGGTTCCGGCAAGACATGGTCGTTTCGACCGAGGCCGTACTCACCACAGATACCACAATAAGCCAGTCGTCGGCGTGGAACTGGCGCAGGATCTTGCCTCGAACCCAGAGGCGGGCGGCGGTAAAGAGCGTACTGAAGATGGAGACGGGAATGATAATCGCGAGGATGCCAGGGCCTTTGTTGGCGTTGGCAATCTCAGCCGGGATGGCGTCGGACATGATGACGAATCTGGTGTCGTCGATCGTCTTCTAAGAGATGTTTGGTCCTTGTGAAAGGGTTGGGAGGAGTCCGATGGTCCTCAGTCTTGTTTGGATTCACAGAAAAAGAGAAGTCAACACTGCGCCGTTATCCGAGCACATGTGAGGAGGGTATCAAGACATGATCTTCAGGCCGGATCCGAGTTGAGACAAACAACGAGATGCGCACGCGGCGTGGCTGTCGTGCTAGCTGCAGGTCGAGTCGAGTCGAGTCAACGGCGTGTTGGTGTGTGCTTTCCTACCGGATGGAACTACAAGAGACGAAGAAAACAGATGGATGGTGCTCGAGAGGACCCGACGGTGCGTTTATGTTCCCATCTGAACAAGCAGAGAAGGGGGGGGCGTGCGAGCGTGCGTGCGTCCCAGACCAGGGGACAGAGGCTGATCAGATAGAGAGGAGTGTATCCTGGGACACTACTCTGGTCGACCTCTGTGCGCAAGCATGGAGTCTAGCATCAACCGCCATCACACACCCCTGGGCGAGCCTAGGTGAATCCATGCCGCGTTCAACGGTGGCCGGGGCCACATGTCTTGGGATTGACGCGTTTATTCGTAGTCGCGCAGGTCATTGCGGGTTCGTCAAGAGTCAAAATGAGGGCATGTCCAGGGCATGTCCAGGGCCGTGTCGTACTTGGTCGTTGTGCTTGTCTTGGGGGTAGGGTGGGTGGCAGGTCGGCATGATAACCCCCCTGCGACAGTCATCTGCCGTCAACAGAGTGATCACCATTGCATTTACCACTTCGGTAGTGCGACCCCCTGGAGGGCCGGGGATCCCACCCCCTGGACGGTCATGGTTTCCGGCGCCGCGAGGGGCTCGGGCCTCGGGGTTGCAGTCGTGGTGGCACTCTAGTGTCCATTTGGCGGGCTTTTGAGCGGGCTCAAGGCGGGGCATTGAAGGCCATGAAAGGTCCATGAAGACAATGGGGGCCTCGGTGCGGGGCTTGGTCACGGCGGACCTCGTCGGGTGTCCTTATCACCAGCCAGGCGACGGGTTTTCGGACACGTTGGTCTGGGGTCCTGGTGTCTTGGGGGCGGCCTTTGGGACCTTGCTTGGTACCTGGACCAATATTTCATGGGTAGGGCTCCGGATACGGGTTCCCATGCAGGAACATGCTCGCTCGGCGACCTCAGTCTGGCTCAATGGGACAAATTCCACCGAGATGGTCCACGATCCTGCACAGGGGTATGTCTTTGCTGATGTTTGGTAAGGGCCATTGCCTCTCCAAGTTCCACCTCTTCACGTGCTAGTGCTGTGGCGGTTCATGATAGCAATCAAAGAAAAAGGATCCTCCGGACGAACAGACCTCCTCTTTCTTTCGCAGCCACGGAGCAATACCCTGAAGAAGTGAAGTCCAGCAACGCAACGCACTGGTCCCGCTGGTCCTCAAGTCACACCAAGCTTGAAGCCAATCGAGAAAGGGTCACGCACAGATGACGCCCTCCGCGACTGTGGGTGATCAAGGAGGCGTTCAGTCTACTGCAGCGTGGCACGAAGGAGGGCGCGGGATTCTAGGCCCACTGGGCACCGAGGGATTGGGCTGGGCACCCACGACACCAACAGCCAAGACTCTGCAGCGCGTGAATCCACCAGCCCGCATCGGTCTTTGGTGATCCGCTCAATCCATAGCGCGACCTCGAGTGAGACAAGTTGCCCGCGGATCTTCCCCAGTAGGCCACCATGATCTGGCCATGTTCTGTTGGCGGGTGGCCGTGATCAGCGATCGTACCAAAAACCCTGATCTTCTCTGATGGTTCTCACGCGATCGGGCTACATGTACCGCTCACATGCTGTGCGATGTCTTATGTTTGACGATGATCTTTCGGCGGGGGCCGACTTTGCCGTTGGATACTGGGAGCCCAAGCACATGGTGTTGCATGACCGGAGGCTATTCAGGAAATCGAAACTGCCTTTCGAGCGACGGGAAAGGGCGATTGTGCCAGATTTACATCTGGTCACTGCGGAATCCCCGGTATCAGGGGTCATATACCCTCCGACTTTCTAACAATGCTACGTAACACCACGTCTATCTACTCTAGCCCCAGCCCGGTCCTCTATCAATGTTTGCTTGTCACTCGATATGATATCGCAGTTTTGGGGGAAAGCTGGCCCTTCGGTTCGCATTTTTCCTGGCTCTCTCTCTGAACAGTCTGGAAGTCAGCAATAGTCAGCAACTCAGAGTCGGCAAGAATTGCGAATCAAAGACAGCGTGGGTGTCTAGCTTCAATGGCGAACCCCATCTATCTTGTCGCACGTACCTGCTTCTGTTTCTTCTTCTGCTTGGGTTTCACGCATGTGGCCAGTGTCAAGGCAAAACGGCACATTCAAGCGGAGAACCCATGCCCAGTGCGGCTGACCTCTAGCCAGCGGCGGCAGCTCTCTAAACAAAAATTTCCTTGCAACATGGTCGCAGATGTGACAAGTTTCTAGGCCAGGCACACCTTTCGAGCGTGGCGTCACATGTTCAAACCTACCTGCGGCTACAGTCGTCGCGCAGCGACTGCATTATTTTCCGACTCCGAGCAAGCCGTGGCGAAGATTCACCTGCATCCAAGTACCGAGGGCACCGCTCAAGGCAGGACCCGATGTACTTGTCAAAGGCGACTGAAACAATCCGTGATGCCTTCATGGGCACATCCTGCCCCCGTCTATATTTGGTCAACATAAGCTTCACAAATGAACCGTTCACGGGAGCCTCCCGCGCGTGCCGCGGAAATGAGAAGCCTACTGTCTCTGAGGACCTGCCAGTAACCCGTGGTGGCTTTGGCCTACCCTTGACTAGCCCACGCCCCCGAAGAGGGTGCACCCTTGTGTGCTGCGCCAGCCGCCAGGGATCGCTGTCCGAAGTGCAAAAATCAAGGTGTTCCCCCCCCAATTCAACAAGCAACCTGGGACGAACACGAACGCCTCGTTTTTGACGCCATCTAGACTCTACTGCCGTTGTGCGGGGTCTCCAGGGTTCAGGGCGGATGATGCCATCACAATTCACCCGCTGCTGGTGAAACAATCTAGGCCTTTGTCACCCAGTCGCGGACTGAACTTTCACGAATGTGATTCGGTACTTGTTTCCTCCGAATGCGAAATCTAGCATACGGCCTGGGATGCATGCACGCAGGGGACGGGGGTCAAGATCCGACTCTTCCAACGATTTATCAGCCAAACGAGCAAGCCAAGGCTCGACAATGCCGAAGTTGTGACAAGATTGCTCGCGACGGATCCGAAAGGTTTGTTGCACCGGTGCTCAGTTGCTAATTGACAGGAGGCAGTTTTGGAAGCAAACTCAATTCGCAACTTCGGAAACGGAAATCATACGGCAATCGGTTACAGAGGAAAGAGAAACTCGTCGTGACCTTGGAGAACCCCTAATGAGCATCTTCGTAGTGCGACAGTCTGCAAAGCTGGCGTCAGCGCCCCCGTTTTCTCCCACGTCGCCCCTCGTGGGGGTTCCTTGCGGGTTTACTGATGGATCACGTACTCGATGAGATTCCCATCTGGATCTCTGACATAGATGCTTCGGATTGGTCCCTGGGCTCCAGTGCGCGCGACCACTTTCTCGCCTTCAAGAACCTGGATTCCCGATTTCTGAAAGTCGGAAATGACATCATCTAGGTTGGTTCCATCCTGGACCAGGAAGCACAAGTCTGCAGTGCCAGGAAGCGCAATAGTGGCTTTTGTCTCAGGCTCCTTTCCCTGCTGATGGAGATTGATCTTGAGAGAGCCAAATTTGAGAGCGTGTCGCACAGTTGAAGAGTCTGTTACGGACACAAAGGATTCTGGTTTCATGCCGAGGTGCTTCGCATACCAGGCAGAAGTCTGCGGTACACTCTTGCAGGTAAGGACAAGGTGGTCCAGAGCCTTGATGACGACGCGGGATCCCATTCTGTCGTCTTCAAGTATGCTGAAGTTGGCTTGAAGAGTTTCCTAGGCAATTGCGCTTGTGTGAATAGAGTTATCGAGGCAAAGGACTAGATGGCCTGCCGACTGTCTAGTGCGCCATAACCTGTGAGGTTGGCGTTAATAAGGTTATGACTCACAAGGTCAAACACAGCGTTCAACAGCTGTCACTGTTTAACCGAAATCACGTGTCATACGATGCCAATGTCTTCCCCAAAGCTTCGGCGGTCGGTTTAGACTTTTCCAATCCTGTAAGCCAGAAAACATCGATAGCCACGCTCGACCTGGCCTCGATACACTAGACTTGTTGCGTCTGGCTATCACACGTACAACGAGCCGTATGGCAGCCCACATCTGAGCCCTTGGAGGACCCCTCATTTCACTGAAGCTTTGCGAGTCATCTGCTTCTTGCCAATCATATCAGCCTGATGCATACTGTTAGACATTACCATTTCCAAGTATCTGCTCAGTTTCGTCTGAGATAATGAGGTAAAGAAGTGATGAGATCAAGCGAGTCAAATTATAGCATTCTGACCTGAGCGCGAACAAGTTGCGAAGCTGATGTTAATGAACTTTTCCAGTTGGTGTAAAGTGCTCCAGCTGTAAATATTCACGGCTGGTAGCGCACTGTTGGTTTGGGTATACTGCAGAAAGTCAATGGCCGACGCTTAACATCCATGGCGCCATCGTCACCCGGGCACTCGCCATAGACCCCGCCCACTGGCTCCCCACCTCTTTACCGATGACCGGATATCGCAGTGCCCACACCGGCACTCTCCCTCTGCGCCGACTGGACAGGAGAAACTTGTTGATGTACAAAACGTCCGTACTGATGGCGCCATGCAGACTTTTGGAAGTCCGCAAAGCCTAGAGTCGCACTGATCCCGACGCCCACCATATTGAAATAGTTTCTCCGCGGCAGCAGGCAAGACACTCGGGTTGTTGCGTGTGTAGGTCAGTTGAGCTAGTCGGACAGGAGACGATATTGCCGCAGCGAGATCGGGTGCTGGGCGACAGTTACATTGGCAGCTCGGTTTATATAGAACAGCGAGTCGTCTATCTGATCTGCCTCGTTTTTCTTGCGTTGTGTACCTGTGCAAGACAGATAGATGACCCAGCGCGAATCAGTCTTGCACGACTCGAGTCATGGATATCGCGAAGACGACCGCCATATCTGTTGGCCCGGCCGGCGATCTTTCTCCGATAACATCTGGAGTTACGTCGGCCAAAGCAACTGGGCCATCTCCTGTGCACGAGACGTCAGTTGAAAATGACGATCGGTCGGTCAACAAGATAGATCCCGAGGATCAGCGCGACGACGAGGCAAGGCTTGTGAATGGCGGAGTTGTCATTCGGGATGGTATGTTAACGTTATGGCTGCGGGCTACCGCTTTCTCTATCGACTACGGAGAAATTAACCATTCGCAGGCAATGATATTGCAAGATATGTGGTGTCGACCCAAGATGATGGAGATCAAGTTCTGACATTTCGCTCATTCATCATTGGATCTGGTTCGTTCCAATGTACTCATTTGATGTATCAATGCTGACTTGAACAAGGCTTGACGGCTCTTGCTGCTTGTATCAACCAAATGTTTGTTTTGACAAATCTTTTGCAGTTGCCAAGCTAAACTAACAGAAAACAGCTACTTCTACAAGCCAGTTGATGTGTCGTTCGCATCTGTGTAAGCTATCCGTATCAGGGAGGATAAAGGAGGTTCGCTCACGCTACCAGGTTTCTCTGCCTCATGGCCTATGTCATTGGCGTCACTTGGTCGGTTGTCCTTCCACGCCGCCACCACGTCGAGAAGTTTTTCCCGTCACAGGCAAAATGGCTGGGTCCAGTGGTTCACTTCATCAACCCTGGTCACTTCGGCCTCAAAGAGCATGCTATTTCTTCGATCCTCTCCACGTCCAGTGGCAACGGAGCAGCGATAGTACAGGTGTTCGGTGCAGAGAGACTGTTAGTGCATGGCGAACCCTAGCAGATGAACCTCGTCTGATTGCTGTTCAGTTTCTACGATCGCGAGACCGACGCGACGACCGCCATCCTCACCGTATTCTCAGCCTCGATATTCGGCTACGGCCTTGTTGGTTTGCTCCGGTCCATTATTGTGCACCGTACGTTTGATGCCCTTTGTAGCCAGGCCTTTTCTAACGCTTTCCAGCCAGCGAGATGGTCTGGTGGCAGTGCCTCCCAATGGTCTCCATCTACCAGACCTTCCACCGCGAATCAGAGGGCTCCAACCACCAGCGTTTGAAGATGTTCAGTCTTACGTCGATTGCCATGTTCATTTGGGAGCCCTTCGCCTCCTACATCTGGCCGTGGCTCAATGGTATTTCCATCCCTTGTCTCGCCTCAATGAATGCTACACCGCCAACACGGAAGATTCTGATGACCATCTTCGGCGGTATCTCATCCAACGAAGGCCAAGGTCTATTCAACTTCTCCCTCGACTGGCAGTACATTACCTCGCGATACATGTCCCTCCCGCTTCTGCAGCAGGCGAACTCGTGGGCCGGTATTTTCCTCAGCTACATCATGTGCTTCAGCCTCTACTACGGTGGTGCCTGGGGCGCCAAAAAGTATCCATTCATGTCGACAGCAATGTTCGATGCGAAGACGGGAAAGGTGTACAACCAGACTGCTGTCTTTGGGCAGACTGCTATCCTCGACATTGATGCGTTGGAAGAACACGGTCTGCCCCGTCTGACGGCTACGAATGTCTGGGCCAACATGGCGGCGATGGCCGCGATCGGCGCTCTCATCACTCATATCTCTCTGTTCTACGGTCCCCTGTAAGTTGCGCACTTCGGTATGAACAACATGGGAGGCCTGACATGACCTAGCATCAAGCGCTCGCTCAAGCAGGCCTGGAAGAAGGAAGAAACGGACCCGCACTTCAAGGTCATGAAAGATAACTACAAAGACGTGCCCATCTGGTGGTACGTCGCCATTCTTCTCGTGGGATTCTTCCTCGGTCTAGGAGCCGTCATCCACGGCAACACGACTCTGGACCCTTGGGCCTATGTTATTGCCATTGTAAGCTTCTCACTCCACGTCCTAAACGGACCTAACAACTACACAGCTACTCGGATGTGTCGTCGCGCCTTTCTCGCTCTGTCTCTACGGTCTGCTGGGAACCAGCGTGTCGACGAACAACTTGTCGAAGATGCTGTGCGGTGTTCTGCAGCCTGGCAAGCCCGTCGCCAACTTGTATTTTTCCATGTTCAGCCATGAGGTGACGGTGCTTTCCGTCTTTCTGTCGACGGATCTCAAGATGGCGCAGTATCTGAAGATTCCGTGGAGGACCATGTTCCTGCTTCAGACCTATGGAAGCCTGTTCGGCACCGCATTGAACTATGTGAGTGGCATTCTCGCATTGCTGGGGGCTGGAGCTGATGTGCAACAGGTTATCATGGACACCATCACCAGAAACCGCAGGGAGATTTTGCTGGATCCTCTCGGCAACCAGGTCGTGAGTTGACACCCTAACCCCGGTCTCGTTATGATGCTGACGGCCCTTAGTGGAGCGGGAGAAAGATTCAATCCCTCAACACGACTGCCGTGACTTGGTCCCTCGCGAAATACGTCTACGGCTTCGATAAAGACGGTTATGGCTGGTCAGTCCTCATGCTCTCTCAAAACTGTAGCCAGCCCTCTCTGACAGCCCCAGGATTCCCCTTTCTATCCTCATCGGCGCCGCCATTCCAGTCATTCTGTGGCTCGTCTCACGCAAGTACAAGACCATCAACGGCTGGGAAGTCCGCAAGCTCGTCGCGCCCGTCATCTTCCACAACGCCTCCGAGACGACGTCGGGCACGACGTCCGTCATTTGGTCGCAGATCGCCACCGGCTTGTGGTCGCAGTGGTACATGCGACTCCGACATCCGGCGTGGTTCGGCAAGTACAACTACATCGCTGGCGGAGGCCTAGACGCGGGCGCCAAGGTCATGATGTTTATCCTGACGTTCGCCGTCGCCGGAGGCTCTGGCAAAGAGGTGCCTTTCCCGACTGTAAGTGCTTACTCCCAGCCCACAGTTGCCATGTGCTAAGTGAGGATGCAGTGGTGGGGTAACCCCGTGTCGGGACCGTCTCAGTATGCCGATTATTGCGGAAATGGAGAGACGGCGAAGTAGAGAAGAGGTCGTGTTCCTGGCTATGCATGGTCTGGGTCTCCATCTCGGCATGATGGGTGCCAGTTGCGTCTAGGTTTGGTGAACCCAATGTTTAGGCCAGACTAGCGGAAATGTCAAGCGTGGCAAAATAACCACGCTGCGAGGTCCCCAGCAAACAGCTCCTGCGTTTTGAGCAAACGGTCCGCAGGGCAAGCAAACTATGCAGAAGATCGATGCATGACCAAAAGATACCGTGTGCATAACCGCCATGTGCCTCGTGGGTGATTGATAGGCAAGGATTCTAGGTTCACACCTCAGACACAACATGGTGATGGTCGCATCGATGATCGACAACCACGTTGAGGTGCTTTCCATGGAACGATAAATAAGCCACTGGCCTGGATCTTCCCAGGTGAGCACGACTTTACGCTGTAGGGCGTCGACCTCGAGTGACGACGGACCATTCGAGTCCAAGCAGAGTCCTTGTCCCGGTCAAAGTAGTCCGACGGATGAACGGCGCACGCTAAGTATGCCCAGATGCTACGCGTGTCTGATAATGGGGCCTGGACTGGACCAGAGCCCTGGGCACCCATTTTGCCGGCCGGCCACCTGTAGGGCAGACGTCTCAAAGGGGCAGGAGACGAGTGCGCGTGTCGTTGGCAAAGAGCGTCGTCCGCACACAACCAGCTCCAGGCAATAGTCTACGGTCGATGGCAGTGGACGAGACATGGGCCCGGCCTGGTTCAGGATGCTGCTAGCGTGTTGGCTCGCTGGATCACATCGCGATCTTGTGCCATGGGGTGACAGCGGGCTGGCGTTCGCCCACATGGCATGGGTCGTGGTAGGATGCCTGATATAGAAGACAGGGGGAGGGATGGTGGGCTCCGATGAACGCTTGAAGGAAGGGACGGGGTTTAAGATATGGGCAAAATCCTACCGGGAAATCAGCATCGATGCCAGACAGGGGCGTGGTGGTTGGTGTGGTACATGTACTTGACCACATCTGTCCGCCAGCAACGATTTGACGATCCACATATCGTATGAGCAGTGATCGGCAACAGATGGCGATTTGTTTGTGCAGTAATCTCGGATGGCACTGGTGAGAGGCAGAGGGCAATCGCCTGATGTTGAAGTCTGCCAACTGTAGAGGCTGTAGGCAGATGTTGGAGAGCGAGAACACCGGTCCACCCCCGCCTCAGGGCCACGACAGCAGGGACCACTGGGCGACAGGGCACATCGGGCGCTGTGAGACGCTAAAGGACACGCGCAGGCGGAGGCGGGGCCAAGACGACAGGCACAGGCACGGAGCAAGTGCGAATTAGCCGAGTCAATAGTCAATAAGGTAGACCGCTAATGGGCGCATGGCATTCAGGGGTCGAGTTGCCTGATGGAGCTAGCGGGCCAAGGCTCTAATTTCTTCCGTCGTCGTTTGTCCCCAACGCCAGCTCCTCCACCTGCCTTCGGTACCATCACCAACTCCATCAAACCCCTCGACAGCCCATCGACGTGTATCTGACGACGGACTGTTGCCTCAACGACACTTTACCTGCAGGTCATCCTCGATGCTCCAGGCATGATCGGAAAAGAAAAACGCCATCTTCCCGTCGCTGCAGCCTCGCCGGGGCGTTGCGTCCACGACAACAAACCAGCACACCACGACCTACGCCGCCCCTCCACTTCGTGGATACCACCACCCTCCATCGTCGTCTCCGCCCCTCTCTCGCTGGTCTGGCCTGGGCATATGCAGCCCAGACACGAGACCCCTGCCAGGCACAACCACATCCCCCAATCCTGCCAGGTCCGGCTGCAGAACTCGCCCGCTCCGCTGTAATCATGGACAATGGACAAAGAGACTTTGTCGACTGCGGCTACCCTCGCCTTGGCACCTGAATCGACAGACGCCGCCCTCCATGCTCGGTATCCGAACTGCCTCCTCCTTCCCCATGTCCTTCGAACCATTTTCGACTCTAGCTTGGCCCTTCGACTCTAGCTGGCCCAATGCTGTGGGACGTGGCGGCGTGTGTCAGCGCACAGTCCACTCAAGCCTCGCGCAAACCCATGCCGGACTGCGCCTGTGGCCTGCGTAAGATGGTCTCGTCCTCGCTATCGAGCTACATCTCTCTCCGGCGGCGGCTTGGCTTTCAATGGGAGTCATTAATAGCCCACCATGTCCTTGCCGGCGACGGGCCGCTCTCCTCTGCTTCCCTCTTCCTCATGATGCTGTTGTGCTGCTTGCTGTCTGATCAGGCAGCCACGCATCTCGCCAGTCGTTGAAACCACCAGCCCTTGTATTGCCGAGGTGCTTCTTGATCTCTTCACTTCGCGATGCGCTGGGTTCTCGGGCTTTTGACGGCGGCTCTGCCGGCCCTCGTCACCTCCAAGGCGCCTACCGATTCGACTCAGGAAGTCGACGTTTCGCAGTCCGGCTATCTGCCCAACCACAACCTGAACCCCAACACCGTCACCTCGGGCTTCCGCAACCTCTGGGAATGGCAGGCCGAAGACACCCAGGAGCTGTTCCTCGCGAAACCCCTCGTCTACACGCCTCCTGGCGGCTCCGAGTTGCTCATCACCTCTTCTGAAAAGAACAATGTCCGCATCTTCGACGCCAAGACCGGCTCCCTAATCCGCATACGACAGCTGCAGGCTCCCTTCAACCGTGACGATGCGAACTGCGGTGACATTCCCAACTGGATCGGCATTACTGGCACTCCCATCATTGACACCGCTACCGGCATTATGTACGTCTTCTCAAAGGGCTACCGCGATGGTTTCACCTCGGGACAGATCAACGGCGTCTACAAGATGTATGCTCTGCAGTTGCCCTCCCTTGAGGACGTTCCGGGATTTCCCACCTTGATCGATGGCGCCAATGCCGACAATGATCCCGCCCGTTACATTATTGGCGGCGTCGCCCTCCAGCGACCTGCTCTGTCCGACGTGAACGGTCACATTGTTGCTGGTTTCGGCTCCCACTGCGGCCGCGGCAACTACACGGGATACCTGGTTGCCGTGAGCAAGCAGCCCGGCGTTGGCGTCACCAGCATGTGGGCCACCGAGTCCGCCCCCGGCGCCCCGACCCCCCAGCCGCTCGATATTACCGTCGAGAATGGAGGCAAGGCTGGCATTTGGCAGGGCGGCGTCGGCCACGCCGTCATTGGCAGCTCCGTATTCTTTGTTGCTGCCAACGGCCAGGGCAAGCACAACGGCAACGTTCCCGCCAGCGGCCGCTCGCCGTGCTCGACCCTATCCCACTCCACCGTCAGGATGGAGCTCTCGCCCGAGGGCAAATGGCGCCAGGTCGACTATTTTCAACCCTATGACTACTCCGGTCTCAATGCGGGCGACCGCGACGTCGGCTCTTCGGGTCTGGCGCTCTTGGATGGGTCTGTGTTCAGGGGTGCTGGCGTGGATCGCATGGGCATCATTGCCGGCAAAGAGGGTCGCGCTTATCTTCTCAACGTCAACGATCTCGGTGGCTTCCGTAACGGCCCCGGCGCTGGCGACAACACCATCCAGACCATTGAGCTCGGCGGTGCTGTCTATGGTGCGTTTGGCAGTTATCCTCACGAAGGCGGTTACATATACTCCGCGACCATTGGTGGGCCAATGAAGGCCTTTCGCCTGGGCCATGACGCTGCTGGCAAGCCTGTCTTCTCGCTAGCTGGTCAGTCCGCCTGGACCGCTACTGCTTCACGAATCGGCCTGGGCCAGGTGACCGTGACATCGGACAACGGCCAGCCCGGTACTGGAATTGTAAGTCGATTCGCCTGCGTATCTGCATTCGCATACTGACTGCCACAGGTCTGGGTGACCGACATGACTCTCGGTCTCGTCGCGTTCCGCGCCATCCCTGAGAACGGTGTTCTCGTTCCGATTCAGCTGCCCTCCGGTCTTCGTGGTGCCAACAAGTTTCAGCGTCCCGTCTTCGGTGATGGCCGCGTGTATTATCAAGCCACAACGAACAGGCTCTACTGCCTCGGAACATCCGTTAACCAGGCCATTACCTGTTCTGACGTCGATTTCGGCACTGTTGAGCTCGGCTCGGCCACTTCCGCCACTGTCAGCTGCACAGCCCAGACGTCTGTGACAACCATCACGGGGTGTTCTGTGTCCAGCCCCTCTTTCATCTGCAACAACTCAACGCTTCCCAAGGGCGCTATCTCGGCTGGCACATCCTTCACGTTCGGCGTCACCTGGGATCTTGAAAATAACGCGGCCGGCGTTTTCCCGGGCTACGTGAGCGGATCTCTGACACTCGGAGTGACTGCACCCGCCCAATTTGCTGCCGTGTCCATCATCTCGCTCGAGGGCACAGTAGTCAACCGAGGCCCGTTCCTGCACTCTCCCTCGACCAGCGTGCCCCTGGGCACCGTTGTCCTTCGCCAGGATGGTCTGACTACCCTTTCTGCCTCTGCCGTCCTCGCCAATGTCGGCAACAGCAGCCTGACAATCGAAGGGCTGGCCTTCCAGACTGCCGGGGGCGCATATAACAATGTCAGCGGACCCTCTGATCTCGGCTCTGGTTTCTCTTCAACTGCTTTCCCCGTGATCGGATCCAAGATTGACGCTGGCGCTGAGACTTCGCTTGGTTTCCTCTTCGATGCCGGTGCAGTCAACTTGGAAGTAGGCGCCTACACCTCCACTGTCACCGTCTGGTCTGACGGTGGTGTCCTGACCTTTGAGCTCACGGCCACCGTCGCGAGCCCGCCAGTGGTAGCGTTCGAAGTGGCGGACGGCCAAGGTGGTTGGAACTCTCTGTCGCCTCACTATACCGTGCCTTTTGGCGATGTCACCACTGGTGGCTCCGCCGAGATCCATATTCGCGTCTGCAACCGTGGCGGCTCGCCCATGACTGTGACGATTTCGAAGGCCCCCGATAGCGAGCAGCTTCGAGCCCTGAACCCCGATCACGAGCTTGGTGAGGGCCTTCAGATTAGGGCCGATGACTGCGCCATTGGTACAGTTGGCGTTCGTGCTGGGCCCATCCAACCTAATACACCTGCACTGAACATTCGGGGCACATGGACCCTGACGACGAACGGACTTGACCCAAACACTGGCGAGGATGCGGGTCTCAAGGACATTCTCTTCACGGCTCGCATCGTGCCCCGTCAACTCGGCCCCGTCCTGGAAAACGGCGAGGCTCGTTACCAATACGTCGGCTGTTTTGCTGACACTCGCATGGGCCGCAACCTGCAGACCCAGGTCAACAACGGAGCGCAGCAGTTGACCAATACCATTCAGCAGTGCACACAGCTCTGCCGCGACCGCGGCTTCATCTTCTCCGGTATGCAGTACCGCCGCGAGTGCTGGTGCGGTGGACCGCCCCAAAACATCAGGTATCCCCAGACATACACCGACCCTGCCGAGAACCGATGCACGTTTGGATGCATGGGCGACGAGACGCAGGCTTGCGGTGGTGATGGCGGCCACATGAGTCTGTACGCTGATGTTACTGCCTTTGACATTGCTGCTTTCCTCGAGTCCATCGGTCAGGGCACTACACCTGGCACTACCACGACGACTGTCGCCACCACCACGGCTGTCACGACGGCTGTCACGACAGCTGCCACCTCGACTACCGTCGTGACGACCTCGACCTCTGTCGTGGTTACTAGCGCCGCCACTTCGGGTGAGCCCGAGTCCTCGGCTGAGCCTGTTTCGTCTGCCGCACCGGACACTACCACTAGCTCCGCCGCCACCCCTACCGGGGCCTCGCCTCAAAACCCCAACCAGCCCGCTCTCGTGAACAATGAGTGGGAGTACGCAGGCTGCTTTAGCGACCTGGTCAATAACGTTCGTACGCTCGGTGCATCCCAGACAGCGTCCGACGACATGACTCTGGAGAAATGCGGTGCTTTCTGCAGCGGCAACGGAAACCCACACAACTACTTCGGTCTCACGTATGGCAGGGAGTGCTTCTGTGGCTGGACTCTCGATGAAGCTGCACTCCGCGCCCCCGAATCTGACTGTTCCAGTGCTTGCATTGGGTCCTCCACCGGTCTTTGCGGTGGCTGGCGCAAGCTGTCCGTCTTCCGCAATATCGAGGTCCACACGCCGCCAGCGGGCCCTGAGCACGTTCAGCAGGTTCTCGACTACCAATGGGAAGGTTGCCAGACCGAGGCTACGACTGGCCGCGCCCTTTCAGGCAAGAGCTTTGCCTCCGATACCCTGTCTGTCGATTCTTGCGCAGCATTCTGCGCGGTTGACAACTTCCTGTACATGGGTGTTGAGTACGGGCGTGAGTGCTACTGCGGAAACACGATTAACGCTGGCTCCGTCCCCGCCGCCGTCACGCAGTGCAGCACTCTATGCAAGGGCAATAGCGTAAGACCTCCTAACCGACATGCGAATTGTGAACTTGCTAACGCTCCCCAGCTGCAATACTGTGGTGCTGGTAGCCGCTTGGACCTCTACCGTCTTGAGCCCGGCTCCGGCTCGTCATCCACCGCCGTCGCATCTCCAACAACCGTTCCAGCGACTTCTGAGCCACCTAGCGTCCCGTCAACAACTGAGGTCGCCTCGACTGTGACCTCTAATGTCATCTCTAGCGAAGCTCCTGTGTCCAGTGCTGAGCCCACATCATCAGAGCTGCCAGTCTCCTCGGAGGAACCCATCTCCGCAGAGCCGTCAGTGACATCCATCGCCGCTGTTTCATCTGACACGCCCTCTTCTTCGGAAGTTGCTGCCTCCTCTGTGGCGGCAGTCTCTTCCGAGGCTCCTGCTTCTTCCCAGGTGCCTACCTCTTCCGCTGCCGTCTCGAGCCTCGAGGCTATCTCAAGCATCGAACCTTCGGCTAGCTCCGAACCTGTTTCGTCCGAAGCGTCCGCCCCTTCCCAGGTTGTCAGCTCGGTTGAAGAATCAAGCACTGTTCAGTCTAGCATTCCCGAATCTAGCATCATCGCCAAATCGAGCACTGTTGTCGACGTCCCTACCTCGTCCTTCCTCAGCGTTCCCAGCGTCTCCGCTTCGACTTCAGCTTCCAGCCTCTTCACTAGTACGATCGAAAGCTCGTCTTCCGGCCCTACGGCAACCCCCACCAACGGCTACTATTACGTTGGCTGCTTCCAGGACACTAGTTCTGGCCATGCCCTGCCTCACCTGCTATCCAACCGCAGCGTCACGCCCGAACTCTGCTTCGACTTCGCACGCCAACGTGCCTCCAATGCCCCAACTCCCACTGCCGCGCCGGCCTACGTCTTCATCGAGTACCATCACGAGTGCTACGCTGGCAATACTTTTGACTTCAAGGGCAGTGCAGTCACGTCTCTTATCGGCACCCGCGCCTGCACAAACTACTGCTACGGCAGCGTGCTGACCTACACGACGAGTGGCACCACCACCGTGACAACCAAGACGGACAACCGTTGTGGTGGGCCGAAGATGTTCGATCTGTACGCAACGACGCTTCCCGTAGACTTCCCTACAACGGGCGGCCCATTAACAACAAAAGTAACGGGTACGCCGAGGCCATAGAGGCCGATGATGAGTTTGGGTTTCCTTTCGTGTACAAAGCTTTGGCCCGAGAAACAGAGGCAAGGCGTAGCATGTATGGCAGGTAGAACTGCTTGGATGAAATATCTAATTTAAGACCGGGCTGTTTGAAGCTCGAAGCCCCGGGACTGTCTTATGAATACTACCAATCTTGTTATCAGCCGCGCGCTGGCCGCTTCGGCCACTGACTTGATCGACATATGCCTTTAGGGCCGGTATTGATCCATACCTGACGTGAGCTGGCAAGATGAACATGTGGAACTGATAATCTGTAGAGAAGAGTAGTCTAGCGGGGACGTTGATCGCACTTGCGCTTCTTTACGAATACCTCAACCGAAGTACCCGTGTGGACAACCACGACGACCTCAAACAAGACATCAAATCCACTGACATATCGCAATGAGCAGAAACACTGACATGATCTTGTACCGGTCATGTCTCTGAGAAAGAGGCTCAGTTTGACCATGAGACAAGGGGCTTTGGGCTGGTACAAGACCTTTGAATGTTTTTGGTCAAGCATCCATGATATCGAGTGCAAAACATGTCCGGCTAGAAATTACGAGCATCTGTAAAGCTTCTTTCGTCGGTGACTTGTGCGTACAGATGCAGACCAAACGTAGCCAAGATATCAAGCGCAAAGCATCTTCAGCTGGAAGTTACGAGCACCTGCAATCTTTCCTTCGTCAGCGTCGCTACCAGCCGAATATGCTCGGCTCAACGGCTGTTTGTTTCTGCAAGAAAGCTAACCGTGTAATGCAGATTCATGAGCTTTTGTCCCAGTAGAACTCTAAACTGCCGGGACTGAACTATGTCAACTGGAAAAGTGACGCTTGTTATATGTTAGCCTGCACCACGATCATAGTCAGCTGTTACCCTGATCGGGGAAGGACTGCTGACATGACGACGAGGTTGATCAGGGTCATCTCACAGCGTGACCCATAGACTTTGGTTTCCTTAATGCGAGAGTGGTCCGCTGCCTGTCTAAGATACTGACTTGGCATCATTACATCTACAGGGTCATGCAACGCGTCTTTCAACATGGGCGCTGACTGATACAAGCAAGCAAGTCATTTCCCGAGGAGGTGTAGCTGTCTTGCACTTTCGCAGGGATGGCGATATAGGTTTGACTTACAAATCATAGATGAAGGTCATTTACGACGCCTGAGTTAAGGAGAAAAGTACAAATCGTTTATAGGTGTTTAGTTGAGCGTTGGCCACTAAACAGAAGAAGATAGGCTTGCGGTTGTCCCTGGATTCAAAACAGCTCAAGAACGACGGGGTTCTGAAGTTTACAAGCATGAAATAGTCTGTTCCTAAGAAGTCGCTGCGCTACCGATGCCCCGCTCTCTTTGAATCTACCAGATATCGACATCGATGGTGAAGTTGTGCTTTTGCCTAAAGTCCTGTCGAATCAAAGAACCTTCTTGTCCGCAGGTGCAGAACGCTTACACGAAGAAGGTCCAAGAGCGGAGCTGCGAACGCTGCCTGAGTTTCCTGGTTTCTTTCAACTTCCCGCCTTTGGATTCCAGCTCCATACCTGATGATCAACCGTCAAGAAATCTCTTGCTTGAAGGACCTTATCTGCTACCTTGCATCGCATCCGCCGTGCAGCAGTGCCCTCGGTCCAGAAGCAATGGCAGCGCAGCAGCCTTCGGGTAGAAGGAAGAGAGACTCGCTGTAAGATGAATTGCTTAGTTGCATACTTGGGGAAAGATGCTGACGGCAAGCAGCAGCAGCTCTGAAAACTACCTGACCGAGGTCAAGATTGAGACGACTTTCAGCTTCGATCGTAGCAAGACCCTTTCCCTGCCCGACTATCGCCCGGATCCGAGTCGCTCCACGTCAAGTCATCAAGAGCATCGCGTCTAGGAGGTTCGTGGCGCTGGAGGATCATCGACGAAGCAGGCAGCCGACCGGAAGAACCGATGGTGGAAAGAAGCACAGAGGACAGCTATGAAGCACGCATACGCCGCGAATGCAGCCTACCGCGAAGCGAAGCAGAGCGTCCGTGAGAGAGTCGATAAATGTTACGAGTGGACGAGTGCCCTGATTTGGGACAGCCTGGGACAGCAAGACACGGTGTCGGATATTGATGTGGCCATGATGCAGGGCATCATCCTGGAGACGGCTAAATGCTGTATCAGACGTAGAAAGAGATGAGTACGATTCGAAGGCGAGGAGGAGACTCGTTACAGAAACGAAATAGCATGGTCGGGTACACGGCATCTAAAGTTCGCGAGATGAACTGAGGAGAAGAACAAGAAGAGGGACAGGTTGAGCTCGAATCTCATGATAACTTTCGCAAACTGGTGATGCCATGCTTCGAGCTCTTATCTTATCTCCCATTTTCCTGCTCTGATGGTGGCGTTGTTTTACTCAGCCCATTGGTGGAGAAGCAACTTCTCCTCCCCCAACCCCACTCAGGGACCAGCCCACCATTGGCCCACAGTGGGCCGACAGCAGCCTCCGCCAGCGCCCCTTTCACTTCGATTAACGGGAAGGGGTCGTTGAATGGCACATGGTGGTCGTATCTGCCGATCTCCTTGAATCTTGGATCGATCATCTTCTCTGTCTTTTGGTCAACTTGCTTCGGGACCTCGTGTGCCCTCGCTACACTCCCTTGCCTCCCGCAACACCAAGGCATTCGCACGCAACATCATTATCACCATGACGCGCAGACAGCATCTCTCGGCCATTGTCGTCCTGGCCATCGTGGCCTTCTTCAGCGTCTCGTACCTGTTCTCCTCTGGGATCAGGGACGGCACCAGCTCCCACTCGGCACCGGCGCCGCTGGTCAAGGACTCGACTCCCGCAGCGGCGTTTGACATCGGCACCATCGACAGCAACATCCTCGTCGGCGGTTCCATTGCGCCCAAGCTCGAGAATGCGACGGCCAAGTACGTTACCCCGCGGATTGCATCCCCCTCCCACAAGATGCTTTGATCAACGTCCCTCGCATCCAGCTAGCCAAATGGAAGACTAACAACCACCGTTTACAGGGCCGAGCTCGGTCGCGCCTCTTGGAAGTTCCTCCACACCATGATGGGCCGCTTCCCCGACAAGCCGAGCCCCGAAGAAAGTCTTACTCTCAAGACGTTCATCACACTGTTCTCTCGCCTCTACCCCTGCGGCGACTGCGCGTCGCACTTCCAGAAGCTCATTGCCAAGTACCCGCCTCAGGTCAGCAGCCGCACAGCCGCCGCCGGCTGGCTGTGCTTCGTCCACAACGAGGTCAACACAAGGCTGGAGAAGGACCTGTTCGATTGCGCGAACATTGGCGACTTTTACGACTGCGGATGCGGCGATGAGGACAAGAAGAAAAAGGAGGCCGGAGAAGGGGTCGAATTACGAGGGGACGACAGTAAAGCATAGTGGGTCATGGTTATTTAGAGCGAGGATACATGAGAACATTTGGTGACAATTTCAAAGAGACAAATGCACAAGGTATGCATTGGTGTTCTGATGGTGTGTTCTTGACATGACGGTGGTCTCCTCGGCGATGACAAGGCTGTGGCATCTGAGGGTCTCGTAGATGTGCGTTAAAGAAGAGCAAGGGAACCAGTCAGAACCCCCACTCACCCATGTATAACCTTAACGAAAGACCAGCTCGAAAGCGATCTTCGCCGCGGGCATGTCTCGAGCTTTGTTAGTACGCAAGTCAAGATGCGGCTTTCTCGGGACATCGGGGGGCTCTGGCGTTGCAGCTGCTGGCAGCTGGCGCCAACTCCACGTGACCCCCAATGCCGCCCAGCGACGCAAGGCCAACGCGTCGGAGCTGCCTGAGCTTCCATCATCGAGCTCCAGCCTTCCTGCCCCGGTCCATTCAACGACGACACTTCAGCCCATCACCCACGATTCCTCCAAAGCGACTCAACCTGCACCAGACACGCAACACATACATTCCGAAAACCCGAAGCTCGCCCACAATGGATTTCACCACTACTGGCGCGCTCAATGAAGGTCCGTCTGTTTGGAGCTCCCAGCTCGAAACAAGGCGTCGAACAGGGAAGCTGATAAGTGAGGATTACAGATGGCATCCACGTCGACATGGATAGGCTGAAGAAGGGCGAGGTCAAGTGAGTTTGTCAAGTTTCCTCTGACTATGGGTTCTATGCTAACTTTTTCACAGCCTGGGCACCTCCATGTACGATCCTCGACGTCCTCGAACCCGCACTCAACAATTCTGACGATTTCTCGCAGCATGGCAGTCACATTCAAGGACGGCGTCATTCTCGGTATGCAAGACCCACTCGTAGGAAAGCTGCGACACCTGTATAGGCATGCGGAACTACAAGGGACTATGGAGCTGACACTACCCCTCCACACGCAGGCGCCGACTCACGAACAACCACGGGCGCATACATCGCCAACCGAGTAACCGACAAGCTCACGCGAGTCCACGACACAATATGGTGCTGCCGCTCCGGCTCGGCGGCCGACACGCAGGCTGTCGCGGATATTGTCCAGTACCAGCTCGGCATGTACGCCATGCGCAACGGCAAGCCGCCCATGACGCAGACGGCGGCGTCCATTTTCCAGGAGATTTGCTATTCCAACAAGGACCGCCTATCGTGAGTTGTTCATCGAGAGAAGGGGAGAGCGCCGCACATGGCTCGACAACGGTCACAGAAGGGCATGGCTAACATGGTCGATGATAGGGCCGGCCTCATCATCGCCGGCTGGGACGAGCGTCACGGCGGTCAGGTCTACTCGATTCCCCTCGGCGGATCGCTTCACAAGCAGTCCTATGCCATCGGCGGCTCGGGCTCGACATACATTTACGGCTACTGCGACGCCAACTGGCAGGAGAGCATGGAGGAGCAGGAGGCCGTCGCGTTCGTCAAGGGTGCGCTGCGCGAGGCGATCAAGTGGGACGGCAGCTCTGGCGGTGTCATTCGCATGGTGGTGCTGACGGCCAGTGGCGCCGACAGGCACCTCTACCTCCCAGACACGGACTACGCCGTGCGTCACGAGTAGGGAGAATTTGGTTCAGGGCGGCCTGACGCGAGGAGCTGCCGAGGACGATGATGTCGTTTGGTGCCTCGGATAAGTGCTGGCGCGTGCCACGGTGCACCGCTCACACGACGCATGCAAATCACAGCAGGGGCATTGTATAATACATAACCTTAGATGACGACGAAGGGAATGAGAGCCGACCAAAAAGTCTCCTGATGACAACTTTTTTTTGTCGTCTCATGGTCCGTGTTGAGAGTGATTTTCGTGTGTCGCAGCCATGGTACCCGACCTGTCGATCCGATCATGCTCATGCTGCGACTGCGATGCTGGCTCCCCCTGCGACCAGGTCCGGCATCCTGTTCGCCCGGGGCTGACGGGTGAGGCGGGCCTGTCCGTGGATTTAAGAGCAGAGGAGGGGGTCAAGGGGGTCACGCCATGCCATGGCACAACCAGCGGGAGGTGGGTGTTGATCCGAATGCACAATGCAGGGTCGAATCACAACGTCGCAGTTGTCTCGCTCTCCCGTTTTGCCTAGAGCGCGAAAGGGGGGAAGGGCGGCGGCAGCCTGCGCGTGGCGGAAACGTCAAAGGCGGTGAGTCTTGATAAACCCGGACACCGTCGATGAGGAGCGGGGAGAGGGGACATGCAGGAGATACGTATGAAGGAGGGCGTTGCGTGCATGTGAGCGACGCACCCACCTCGATTGGATAAGTTGGCGTCCACCGGGTGGGAGACAACATTGCCCCGCCCCGGCGGTCAAATCTGGGAGTGTATTGACGTCGCCGGGAAGAGGCGGTGATTGCCAGCGGGCGCTACAAGGGCACGCGGAAGCGGATAACAGCACTTCCTAGAGCAGTGGAAGCAGCGAACCGCCTGCTCCATTGACCTTGACGGTGACGCTAAACCGGGGGGCATATCATCATCGTGTAAATCAATAAGGGATTAGAAGAACCTTTTTTCCTTTCCTCTTTTTAAGATGGGGTGGGGGGATGGTTTTCGGTGTCGGATCCTCGATGAGCGTGGAGGATTGATTGATGGGCCAAAGGGGCTCAACACGTCACCTGTGCTTCGGATCGGCGACAGGGCTGCTCCTTATGCTGTCTTGCTCCGGCAAAGCAGTGTGGACACGTGCCCTTTGCATTTGTCTCTGCTTTGGCTTCCTTGTCTCATGTCTTGTCTGTTATGTCTTGTCGGGGTTAATGTTCCTCTTTCAACGCGACCGATGACCCCTTCCCGGACTAGGCTCAGTCTGTCGGGATTCCTCTCGGAGAGGGAACAGGAGGAATACCCCGACGTTTCCAGGGCCCTGTGTAAGGCTGATCCCCCCGAAGAAGAGAAAGACGACGAAGAATGGGGATGGGTTGACGGCATGGAGTGCGCCAGCTGGCAGCTTGAGCATGGGGATGCGGTGAAGATAGTCAGGATCCTGGAGAGGCAATGAGGGACACCCCGTGCCGGCGTGCTGGCCCGAGATTGGCGGAGGTGCGGGCGGAGAGGGAAGTGGGCAGAGCGGGCGGGTGGGTGCCGAGGCGGACGGGGTCGAAGGGCGACAGCAGCAGGACAGGGGGTCCAGGGGTACGAGTAGCTTCTGGCAGGGGTGGTGCTGGGGGTGCTGGGCACTGGGCGCTGGGCGCTGGGCAGGCCACTGGCACTGGATGCTGGAAAGCTTGAGTGCCGTGTGCTGCTGGCCCCGGCAGCCCTGGCTTGCTTGCTTGCTTGCTTGGACGGGCTGGGAACGGGAGGCGGCAGAGGACTGATGATCGGAACGGAGCAGGGCACGCGATGAAGATGCTGTCTCATCCGTCGTCTGCAGCGAAGGGTCGTATTGAGCTGATCGAAAGAGCTGATCGAAGGAAATGATGGGGCCATGTTGGGAGCTCGGCTAGTTGCGAGCCAGCCAAGGTAGGCCGGTAGCCCGAGTCACCTTCCGGCTCTAGGTTACGGTAAGGTAGCCAGAGGTTGTCACTCGCTGTCACAGGCATCGCCTTGTGCCAACCTAGCACGCCTCGTCGACATCAGACAGCCGAGGCTGCCTACCAGAGGAAGCCTGATGTCGTCGGCCCAGGTCCACGAGGGGCCTGGTCAAGACAAGGACCATTTGATGGCACTTTGACACTCAGCGTACGAATATCGAGAGACCACGGAGATACCATGTACACCTCGTCTGCTGGGTCTAATCCTGGCATGCACTGACCTGTAGAGAGCCCAGAAAGCCAGCGGTTACCAAATTCAAGATGCCTTATCTCCAGATATCGCGCCATTCGAGGGCTTATCATGAGGTCGGGACGAGGGATTGGCCGATGTTGGCGCGGTCGTCGAGATCAAGTTATTCAGACCTCTCAATTCTCTCCCTCCTTTTTTTATCTCCCACGTTTTCCAGGTCGTCTATTTTAGTCTCCGATCTAGGCATCTGTTTCTAATACCAAGATGAAATATGATGATCGGAACATCAGTGACGTCTGGGTTCAGGAAGCAGGCTGTCCTGGCTCGATGCGCTCGTTGTCTCCATCGAAATACGGAGCACTCAGCTGTTGGGTCGGTGCAGCTAGCCATCCACATGTTGCAGCAGACGCTGCAGGCGATAGGAGGTGGGGGGGGGCTGTGTTCGGTTGGGCCCGCCGCGTGTCGCCCTGGTCCAATCCGCAGGGCCATAGGCACCTCGTTGTGTCATCGACTCCACAGGACGCGAGCCTGGACCTTTACTTCGTGGTCCATGCGAGCGGCCCCTTTGCTGGCGAACTCCGGGAGCAGGCAAGGTGCCTGCCTGTGGAGAGTAAGGTATGGTGGTACGTCGGTAGCGCGTGCTGTGAAAGGAGAAGGGGGAAGGGCTTGGGTGCCTCTTTAGTGGCCGTGGTCCCCTGTGAGCCGCTGCCACCATCGACCAGGCGCCCTCTGTGGTCCCGTCGAGCGCCTGAAGCTCCAGGGGACGTGCTGGCACGTAGCGACCTGCGTCGGTAGCTGGGTCCACCGCAAGCATCCACCTCGACCGCCCATCTTGCCGGTAGAGGGCGCCGGCCTACCTGGTCGCGCCTGCCATCCCGTTGAGGCAAGGTAACGCAAGGCAGGTACGGTACGGTATCTACCTGGGTGTAGGCTGGATGGAAGGGACTCACACAGAGAGAGGCAAGAGATGGGATGGGAAACTGTTACCTACAGTCGATCCCCCCTTCCCTCCTCCATCTGGCAATTCGCGCCTCTTGCTTCCCTCCCTCCTCCAACATACACTATCCCTCTACATCATCACCATCACCATCGCCATCACCATCGTCATCGTCAGTGCTGTCGCCTTTTGCCGTATTGCGTGCGTCTCGTATCTCGCCTCTGCCTCATCGTCATTTAGCCGTGCTCCGACCGAGTACCGAACATACATTTGCCTCGCGCCTACCCCCTCTCCTCCCCTCCGTGCCTCACCCCATTGTCTCCGACCGGGTCGCATCATCGCAGCGCATTGCCCAGACACGTACCATCGACGCACACCTAAAACAACGTATGCATAAACGCACCTTACGCACCTTGCGCACACACTTCGAGCACTGGTTTGTCTCGGAGTCATTTCAACTTGACGTCGCCACACCTATTACCCCGTCGCCTCCGCCCCCTCCCTCCGACTCGTCCCGCGTTCGGCCGTCATCCTTTGTGTCCTTTTTCAAACCAAAAGACACCCCCGGCGCCTCCAGATCTCTTGGTTCCCCCCTCCGTCGCCCCTGGGTCCCCTGGTTTGAGAAAGCCGGCTCCATTAGCAAATTCGAAATCGAATTCGCATTCCTCGCAAAACACCATCCTCCCACATTCGACCCTGCCGTGTCTGCTAGTCTCGTCACCCCGAACGACTGGAACAGATTCTTCGGCCCCTGTCCACCACCGACATCATATCCCTTTTCCTCTAGCCCTTCCACGACGGTTCGGCTACCAAAGGACCAAAGGACGACACATCGTCACCCTCTCTCGCGTCGTTTGCTTCGTTGGCGCTCTCGTTCACACTGCACGTCTGTTTTGTCCCAGGTAAGCGATGCTTTTCTTTCTGTCCATCTACTCTTTTCTCTCCATCTTTCGGCTCCAACCCACCTTGTCTTGCTTTGTGTGCTGTGTCGCTTTTGCTGGGCACCAAACACCCCGCCCCGGCGGGGCGGGGGAAAGAGAAGGTACGGAGGATAGTAGTCTATGTGGTGACCGGACGGTTTTCAAGCGTTGCGAGTTAAGCAAAGGACGCGGCAGGCTCGAGGGGTAGCTAGGAGAGAGGGAGAGAGAGGGCGGGAAGGAAGGGGGGGGAGGGGGAGAGGGAGAGCAGAGAAGGGGGGGGTGTAGGGGGGAGGAAGGGGGGGAGAGGTGTGGTGTTAGGGAGTCGGGGGTCCGAGCCAAGCCCGGGTGGAGGGGGATGATCGCGCGGAGAGGGTGAGAGATAGGAGAGGGAGCTGAAGGAAAAGAAGGGGGTGGAGGATGACCGAGAGGCGAGCGGGAGGAGCGACGCAGCGTAAGCGATGAGAAAGAGGGAGAGCAGTCCATCGGCATTGATGCGTGCAAGTATCGCACGAGGGGGGAGAGATGACCTGAGTGATCAGAAGTAGAAGGACAGAAGAATGAGTAAGAGAGACTAATGACTGCACGAGCAGCGATGCGCAGTAGAAGGGTCCGAGTAATGTGGCAGCA